CCCCCCCTCCCCCAGCAGTCCCCAACCCCCACCCGCTCTCCTAGCCCCCATCCCCATGGCTGCTCTCCTGCCCCAGCTCCTGGTACTTTAAAAAAAAAGCCCTGGTATTCACTGGGTGCTGCTGAGTATGGGAGGCAATCCCTGCTGCCTCCCACTGTCCCACACTGCATGAGGGGCTCTGCCATGAGCCTCCTGACCCCCCATAGATGCCATGCCCAGGCCAGCTCTGGCCCCTTAAGAAAAAAAACAAAACAAGAAAAGCCCTGCACTCACCACTCCTGCAGTGGTCTCAGGGCTTCGGGGGCTTGTGCAGAGCCCCCCATATGGCACAGGGCAATGGGAGGCAGCAGGCATTGCCTCCCCACCAGCAGGAGCAGTAAGTCTGGGGGGGGTTCAGTTTTTTTTTTTTTCTTAAAGGGCCAGAGCTGGCCCAGATGGGGCACCCATGGGGGAGCTGGGGGAGTGGGAGGACTTGGAGGGCTCATGCAGAGCCCCCATGCAGCAGGGGGGGCAGCAGGGATTGCTCCCCACCTGGCAGCACCCAGTGAGTTGGGGCTTTTTTTTTTCCAAAGAGCTGGCAGCTGGGGCACGCAGGGCAGCCATTGCCAGGCTGGGAGAGGGCTGGGGGATGGGCCTGGCCTGGCTGATTTGGAGATTTGGCAGCAGCCGAGTCTCTGAATCCGATTCGGCCAATTGAATTGGGACAGTAATTTGAATCACCAAATTGAATCACTGTCCCCCGAATCGGCCAAATCCAAATCTGAAGCAAATATTAGCTGCTCCATACAGGCCTAATTCCCAGTATAAATCCTGAACACAAACAGAAAGTGTCTGGGCGACAGGGCTTAGCTCGATCCCAGGCTATTTTGCTGTTCCTTCTGACTTGTGTTCACTGACTCCACTTTCTGCTTGATCTCCTGCTTGAGCTCCAAGCTTTTCAGCCCAGCTTGCTCTCTGTCTCTGCTCTCTGCCTGATCTCCTGACTTGTCTTCTTCCTAGATCCCATTCTTAGGTTGACCGCCTGGCTTTCTGACCACGCTTGTTCCTGGATTATGCTTGCACTTCCTGATCCTGGTTGGCCCCTCAATTTCTTAGTGGCTCCAGACCTGGTCATCCATGATCCAACATGACACCAGTATGCTATAGAGATTTTATAACCAAAGAATACTGGAGAGTCTGCCCAGAAAATTTTAAGATATGTTTTTAGGTCAATATTATCTATTTTCAAATCATTAGGCATATCATATTGGAAAATATTCTTTGGGTGCATCTACATAAGAGCTGACTAATTAGCTCCACAGTAAAACATCACCATCTACACATGCAATCCTATTAGACTAATACATGCCACCACAGGGTAGTCCAGTTAAAGTCAAGTAGTACCCTGTGGCAGCATTGTTTTGTGCACTGCAGAGCACATGTAGATAGTGACAGGGCTGGCCAGGGCACAAGGGTGCTTTAGCGCAGGGGCTACCTGCTGGTTAACCCTGCACTGGAGCAATCTCATGCCCCAGCCAGCCCTTCTGTAGCACGTTGAGCCGAGTCAGAGCAACCCTGGTCTGGCATGCTGCTCTGGATACTGCTGCAGAGCAGCCCCAGGTCCCCTGTTGGGCTCCACATGCTACACATGAATAAACTCTGAAGCAAGAAGCTCCAGGATTTATTTGTGCACAGTAATTGCACGTGTAGACACACCCTTTGAATACCCTTTTTACCTTTACTTTTATCCTTCAATGATACCCAGAAAGGAAAACAAAATTAAAAAGTCTTAAATATTAAGACCACAAACTTCTGATTATTGCATGGTGTCAATACAGTGCACAATTATAGTTTGTAACAGACTGCATTGTCAGCTTGGACTCCATTTCTTGGCAGGCTCCTGGGAAAGGGGAACAAAGCTTGGGGGAAGCTGGGGTTTGGTGTGTGAACAAACTGTTAGGGAAAGAGAGCATGCATGTTGGGGAGGCTGCGATTGGTAAACTGGGCAGCAGAGGCTCTGGGGCTATGAAAGGACTGATGCTGGCAGGCTGTAGGTGATGGAGTGAGCAGTGGACCCATAGGAGCTGCAGCAGGATTGATCCTGACAGGCTGCAGCCAGCAAGACACATGGGGAGAGCTGGAGTGTGCAGTGGAGCCAATCCGTCGGGTTAGAGTGGAAGGGACCCCGTTATGGGGTCTGAGACGAATGGTAACTGGGTATATAGGAAATCGGGGGTTGGTTTGAAAGCTCTCAGAGTGGAAGAGAGATCCAGGATCACTTGGTGTGAATGTCCCATTGTTACTGTTTCTTATTTGTCACTTGTTTATTTACTGCTGAAGGTGTTTTACCACTGGGTGACTGCTATTCCCCTGTTATGTTTATTCCCAGGGCATGAACCTTAATACCTATCTGCCTCTTATGTTATCTTCCATGTATGTATTCTGATGTATATAGTTATGTTTCTAATCTCCTAATCCCATTGGCTGGTGACCCTAATCGCTCAGTATCCCTTTTATATAAATTATAGGATTCACCTTTGGTTCCATGTGGCTTTGGGGTACGCTACAACTTATTTAGGTGCTTTAACCATACAGTCTATATTTTAATTTGTTCACATTTCTTCTAATTTTAACATGAACTCTAAATTTCAGAGTTTTATAAAGTCTTCTTGGGGATCGTTATATGTATACCATGACATTTAATCTAATTTATTGTTGTATATTTTCAACTTAATATTAACTTAGGTGTTATCTGGAAATATGGTAGATGCAGTTCTTCTCAGTAATTTAGAGGAGGCAGAATCTACAGAAATGTCAGATCTATTGGATTAATAGGTAACTGGCAACTGGCTGGAATGGGAGGTAGAACTTTTAATGACAAAGAAAATCTTTCTCTAGATGGATGGAAACTGACTATAGAAACCTTATTTTATTCATAGACATTAGGGCTGGAAGGCACCTCGGAAGATCATCGAGTCCAGCCCCCTGCCCAAAGGGCAGGAAAATTATTACTGTTATTGTGTTTTTATAAAGCATCCTAAGGAAGTTAAGACACAAGTCTCTCACTGATATTCGATTGAAGTTTAGTATCTTAATCCCACAGATCCTTTGAAAAATCTTAGCCTGCATGAACCATACAGAAATAAAAGGTTGGCAGAAAATGAGTATTACTGGGCACTCTGAGCAACAAAAATATAAATGGAGTAATGTGAAAGAAAAAGAGATGGTTTGCTTGTGCCATCCTACATTTTCAAATACAATTAAATCATTTAGTTTAGTATGGTTCAACATTATTGTATTTTGTTTCATAGCAGTATATGTTCTCTAATTTTTCAGCAGGTATGGAAGCTGCTAGATTGAGACAAGAGGGAGCAAGTTTCAAAGGCTTATTCAGAAATAAAGCACAGGTTTTAACACTGCAAGAAGCCCCATAATACATTGTCAACAGAATTAGGGAATAAATGTCTCTAAGGGGAAAAGCAAGATGGCTAATGCCAAACATTAAATAATCATGTGTAAGGCTTTCAAAATGGTGTGGTTGACTTAAAAAAAAAGATTTTTTTCCTCCAGAATAAATTTTGGAGCTTATTTTATTTGCGTTTTGCATTTTGAGCTGTCATAATGCACTCAGGTCACATTTTTAAGCTTTCCTTTCCGTAAGTGCTAGGAACTTATTTTTCTTTAAACACAAGGTGCGATTCTTACTTAGTCACCAGTCTTCACAAACAGAGGCTTTAAATAAAACATCAAATAAGCTAAGACTTGTGATAAAATTGTGAGAATAGGCATAATTGATAAGGTAGTTTATATGCCTATTTATTCCTTAGCTTCTCTTATGAGACCAGCACATCAAGGATGATAATTAAAGCTATTATGATGTAGGAGAAGTGGAAATAATAAAACTTAAAACCATAAGATGGTAACACTTTGTGGTCACTGGGTCAGCCTGACCTATTTTTGAACCAAAGGAGAAATATTTCACTTCACCTTTTTTCCCCATCTTTTAGCACCTTCAAACACCTTTGAGTTAATTTATATTCTTCCAGAAATCCCATACAAATTGCTTAGAATTACAGAACATACATATGAGAGAAAATTTTGCTTGGTTTACAACTAAGATATTGGGAAAGAAGATATTCAAATATTTAAGTAGTCCATTACATATAGAAGCTACTACCAAAAGTTTTTTAATAGACCTTTCCTTTGTCCATTGTGTTGCAAAACAGTACATAAAGCAATAATTCATAGTTGGAATGAACTCTTTTAGAGATATTTAACAGATTATGTTTTCATTGGTTCTTGAAGGGCTTAATTTCTTTTCTAGATTTCAATAAAAACCCAATCCCTGCATTTCTACTGCCACAGTGAATGGTGATATCTGACAAGAGATGACTTATTTTTGTGTGTTTGTATTTGTTCAGAGGCTATTACCACAGACACAAAGGTTAATTGGAGGAATTATCCTAGAAAGAGAAACTAATCTGATCATTTTTCTGCCAAAGTGTGAATTCTATTTTTATAAGCTTCTTCAGTGGTTATAAAGTAAAGTAAGGTCATTTAACAGTACCCAAGAAGATGTCAGTATGCCCCATCTGGATGAGCATATGGTGAAAATGTAATTAGAAAGAAGGTTTTACTAGTTTCAGAATACGTTTCATTAACAACTTTTTCATAAAACTGGAACAGGGAAATCTGAAGTGAATAAACGTTCACAAACTCCTCCTCTTCCATACCCCATGTGAGTTGTATGCCAAAGCAACACAAAGTGAAGCAATTTCTTAAGTAATAGAGCCAGCATAAATACAAACACAAAAGAGATAAAATGTTTTACCCTCAAATTCAGGTGGACATTTGGAAAGAGAGTTTTCTACTGAAAACCTTTTTTAGAATGAGAATTAAAATTGAAGTTGGTAATGGGATATTAAATGTATTTTATCTTCCTTTTGAATACCTGCCTACAATTTTGCTTGTGTTCACAAACTGTCAAAGAATGCCTGTCTTTATTTCCTTATTTCTTGCTTCTTCCACTCTCAGGCTTCCAATATATATTTTTGGATCTCTGCTCATGAAGCATTTTGAATGCTAGCCTGTCTCATTGGCTTAAGCTATGTGAGATACAGGTCACATGGCAGAAGTCATATAATACTTCTCAATGGCAAGGAGAAGTCAAACAAGGACAGGAAGATAAGAAGAAACTCTTCAGGGTTGCCAGGAGTTATGTTTAATAGCAGATAAAGTAATAAAACAGGAAGTGACCCTGTTAAAGCCTGTTTAAGAAAGACACTTCTCTTCAGCACCCCAGATTTTCACAAAGAATCATCCTAATATCCTGTTCTCTTACACAACTTCAGTGGCTACCTGACATGCAGCCAAATACCATGCATATATATAATTTTAAGAGTGACCGGAGTTGGGTGTCCATCTCTCATCTCTGGTACATTTGAGTGCTCTGGCCAGTGGAGGATGTTTGCATCAATTTGGACCTGAAAGCAAATGGAGTATAATATGTACTGGTGCCCCTACTGTTCAAGAGTTGAGTTATGGCATATAAAAAACTCTGTTCTTCAATTCTTCTTTAACATGGGAGTCACTTCACTGACTTGAGAAGTTACTCTTGACTGCCAAAGCTGTGTTGTAAGTGAAAGTGGAATCACAGACTTTCTTTTTCGATTTGAGCAGTGCCCCACAGGTGAGGTGATCTCAACAACCATTCTTCTGGTCTAGGCCCACAAGGTAGCATAAGTCAATTTTATGAAAATTTGTTAGAAACTGTTAAAACAAGTTACTGGCATGTCCATAGACAAGAGTCCTGTATGTTTACTGGATTATGTTTCAAAATACGCTGTAGTTTTTCTACATGGGGTAGTTTCTGCTTATACAAGCCAATCAAGTTTATTTAAAAAACAAACTATGCTGGACCCTTTTAACTTGAGATGAAATGTAGATCCTCATTATTTTCTCTACATGCCTCAGTAAAGCCTTTTGCAACTCAAGGGGAAAAAGCTGAAGGATTTATTGAAGAGAAAATACATTGCAAATTAATTGGTGTTGAAAGAGTCTACACCAAAATGGAATGAGCTATGCCTGTTTGCCTTGCTTTTGACAGGTTGCATTCTAAGTGGAATGACAGTAATCCATCTGCTTTTGCCTAGCCCAGCTCCCCAGTCAAGTGAAATCGGCCTTCTACAAAGCGCTAGAGCATTTCTCCCTCTGCTCAAATAAGGAAATGATATGTACAATTCATCATGAAGAATTCAGCCAGCCAGCAGAGTGAAACCTTAAAATGAGGTCCTAGCTTCCAATGTGCGTGTTAGAATAGGCAAGCTTTTCACTTGATATTCTGGTCAGGTAAAATGCTGGGGAAAGTAGACTTCTTTTTTCTGAGGCAAAGTCCCAACTCTACAAACACTGAGTGAGGGTCTTCTAACAGTACAGTAGCACCATGCTTATAATGGTAATAAAACATGGAAAGAATCACCCATATTAGCTATAACCATCAGACCACCTGGCTAGTATAGTTGAAGCAAGCATGTCACAGATACAACCCAGATATTGAGGTGTCAATATTCAGGAGCTGAGGATCTATGATACTGAAAGTCCAGGAGCCAAAGACAAAGGGCAAAGTAATGGGCATCAATCTGATTCTGAGGTATCACAATGGGGGGTTGAGATGGGTCTGTGGACCAAGCCAGGCCACAGGTCAGGAGCTGGAGAATCCAAAGCACGCAACAGGATAGGCAGGAGTAATGTGCTGGGATCCAAGGCAGAGGTGGTCTGGAACAAGACTAGGGCAAGGCTGGAGTGGCCCAGATAAGCTGGTAACCATCACTGTTGCTGGGACAAGGCCCCAGGGAAAATGGGAGGACTTCTACAGCCTTGCCATCAGGGAGGGCCCAGGTTGAGCTGAGTCAAGCATTCATGTCACTCTTAGGTGGTGTTGCAGCTCAGAAGACCTGCGTTTGAGCCCAGGGGACCTGAGAGCATGGCAGAAGTACACAAGTTATTTCACTATGACATTTACCTGCATAACTCTTATTAGTGTAGACTGGGCTCAGAGAAGAAAAATCACACACAATGACTGAAATTTTACTAATAATGTTACATTTTTTAATTTTGATTTGAGCTTAAGCAAACACTTACTCAAGAAATGTAGGTCCCCAAACAATGATTTAAAATAAAGATATAGAAACATAAACCCACAGAAAGACCCCACAAAATAAAAGTAAAGTATCCAGCAATAACTGAAACAAACAAAACAAGTTTGACACTATACTGCTTTAAAGTTATTCCACCCACAATTGCCTCCAGAAAACCCATTGAATTGTCTTTGCAACACACCCTGAATATTAACAGATTAAGATTGTATCAGACCAAAGGAATAACCAAATTTCAGAGCCAAATGACTCAATGGAAAATGCTCTCCTGGCATTCCCTCTCCTCCCCTCCCTGCCCCCAAACTCTGGTTCTCTCTTTCTCTCTCTCAGTTTCCTGCTGAATGCCACTGGCAAGAGCATCACACCGGGAGGAAGGCATGTCTAGAATAGAGGCACTGGTAATGCTATAGATTAGGTTTGCATGAAAATTAACACTTACAGAGGCAACAAAACCCATTTTCTCACCCCCAATTAATTAATGAAATTATTTAGTCTCCATATTGCAAAATGCAACTGCTGTGCAGTGGTTAGAAGGGTGGTCCTAGATTTAACTTATTTTGTTCTTTTTTATGGTTTATATTGATGGGGTATACAATCTAAAAACCACAAGCCAAAATTTACTAGAAAACACACATACACAAAGACTCTTTTCATACATTATGGTCTTACAAATCTGTTCTATTTCTCTGCTTTAGTGAGATGACATAACAATAAAAATGTTTCTATTTAATCTCATCTAGCACTGAAAACCAGTCAGCTATATTAGAACTGCTATCATTATCTATAACTCATGGGTTTAAAAAGGTGGGGGTGGGGAATAGGAAGTACTCTGGTAATTTACTGGATACCCCTGCACTCAACATCTTTATTGCAGCTTTAACTTCACCAAGGCATAAGAATAGAATGGAAACGTTAGGTAGCATTCAATTATGCATAGCGCTCATATGCATATAGGGAAAAGTCTAGTTCATTGAAATAGACCGTCTCTCATTCCACAAATACTGGACATATTCTTTTCTCTGGAGACTCCAGTGCAGTGAATTTTATAAAGCTACCATGCTCTCATTAAAAAAAAAATTGCTAATTCACTGAAATAAAGCAAGCAAAGAAAAAGACAAAGAGCTCTTTATAATTTGCCCCTCTACAGGAGCATCTTCATGTAAAACACACGGGAGCTGGAGGTAAGAGAATAGGATATGGGACATGTTTGCCTGCTAAAGAAATGAATATGAATTTATAGTAACCATTAAAATGAGAAGAGAGAGTCTCAACATTCTTGTTATTCTTTTAACTCCCTGTTTTGGAGAAGGATGGAGGAAGGGCGTGAATTTAAAAGGATTAGCTACTTGCTCATTAATTGTGTACAAACATACAGGATTAGTCTTATTGACTGCTAACTT